TCGCGGGGCTCCCAAGGGGGCTGCAGGGCCCCGGGCGCGGCTCCAGCGGGGAAGCCGGACAAATGAGGCGAGTAGGACGTTTCCTAAGTGTCAGGGACTGGGCAAGCACGGAGCTAACAGGAAAGGACCACGGGGGAATGGGGAGCCCTACAACCAGAGCTTGGAGAGAGGAGGGCTGAGCGGCAGTCAGAGCGTTGCCAAAAAAAAATAAAAAAATCTCACAATTCTCACAATTTAAGCAACAGATAAGCAGGAGTGAAACAGGTTGAGTTCTGGCTGCCGGGTCAGTTTGCTGCGTAGAGCAAAGTTTCCTGAGGGCGACGTCGCTGGCGCCGCTGCAGTTTTAATCAGAAGGTGACGCGCAGGTGCCTTTACCTGAGCCTCGCTCCTTTCCTTTTAGGCGGCTTAGCTCACAAGGGGCGTCTCCACTTTAAAGAGCCGCGGAGACGCCGGGAAAACAGTTGATTTAGTGAAAATAGCGCGAGCGGCCCTCGTGAAGGCTTAGGTTTGGATGAAACCTGGAAAGTAAACACCATTTCTCTCTTCTGAGCCCCACCACCTTCCCTGCCCACATGGGCTCAGATTCTGATTGTTGGTATCCTTTCAGGATCCCTTTAAGCTACTTAAAGCTCTTGTGTACCGGGTGCGATGTCATTTGCCTTGGTAGATACAAAGATAAAGGAATTCTCTATCTCGATATTCAGGTCTTTTTGAAATTTAAGAAAAAGTTGAAATTCACAGAAGCTAGGATGAAACATTTAACTGTTTCGCTTCTTAAGAGAAAAGGTTGCTTCTCTGACCTTCCTTTCATCCCAAAGGTACCCTAGAAAAATGGGTGCTGTACTGGTGGGTTCCCACCGCAGGGGATTGTGTCTTCCCCTCCCCCACCCCACCCCACCCCTGCTGCTGACTAGTATGAACATTGAGAAACAATTAGAAAGTTGTGTAGAAAGAGACAAAATTGACTGCTTAGTTAAGATAGAAACCTCCGCGACATGTCCTGCTGCAGGCCTCTCCACCCTCCCTGAGTCCCCGAATCCCAGCGGAAAGGTGGGCATGGCTTTCTCTTTTCTTTTTTAATCCTCCTTTTGGCCTGACATAGAGATAAAGAGTGCCCTCACTTTTAAACAGGACAATGCGGGCAGCCTGTGTTTGCACATGTTCTCAAAACAAACTGGAATTTTATGATAAACCCTGAAGTTGGGGAACCTTTCCCAAGGGAAAACAGAATCATTTGTGAGGTTTTCCACTGATTTAAAACTGCAGGGTTACTTCCCATTTACCCCCAGTGTTGTTTTTAGGTCCTTTGAAACAAGTGTGACAGGAAAATAAATCTTCCAGGACTGAGAGAAAAGCATAGGCCTTTCTGGGGGCACCATCAAAGGGTTCAGGGATTTGCTGCCTGGTTCGTGGAGTGACTTGCCAGCGCTGGGTTTGTATACAAAAATGCCTCCACAGGGCCTCCTTGTTTTAGGCTAGTCCTTAATTCATTAGAGGACCTAGAATGGGAGCAGAGGTGTTTGGAGTGAGAATGATGGTGAAAGCTAAAACTATTAGTATTCCAAAAGGAGTTAAAAGACACCTCCTGATTGTCATTTTGGTTTTGTTTTTAGCGGTGGTGTCTGTGGATGGGCGGCCCGTGAGACTCCAACTCTGTGACACTGCCGGACAGGTCAGTATCATGTTACAGCTCAGTGCTGGGAAAGGAAACAGCCTTTTAAAGATTTCCAAATAACCTTTGATTCCCCCAGTCAGTAACTAGGTCATTCGAAAGCCTGGTGAAGTGGACCCACCCCTGCTGTTGGCCCCTCTCTGAGGGTGGGCAGGGGCCAGGGGTTGGCGGGCAGGAAGCAGAGGAAGATACCTCCAAACTAATAAAGCAGGATTTGGCCCAGCTCTGCATAGCCAGGCAAGGGAGGAAGCACGGTCAAGAACAGCTCTTATCTTATAGGAGTTTCTATTATTTACTCCTTGGTTTTTATGAAAAAGTTTCAGTGATGCTTTGTCGTCATTTCCCAAACTAAGTTAGTGATATCTTATAATCGTTTTATTAAAGGCCAGTGAGTCAGATATTTAAGAAATTTGTTCAAGAAAAAGATGGAATTACATCAGTAAGAGTTAATAGTTCCCTTCCTGAGCTATGGTTTGACTCGCTAGGACCAGCCCCATCCCTTGAAGCACAGATACATTTGTCAGAGCAGTCCTAAGCTGGAGGGATGAACTAACTGGGCTTATTCTAAAAAATTGTGAATGCTTTGGCTCAAGGGCTGGGCACTTTAAGGAAATAGCCAGGGAGTATAGGATTCCCTCACTGTGTTCCCCAGAAGAACCCCCGCCCCCCTTGGTGGGTAGTCGAGTCATTGAAGTCAGGCTGTGCCTTGTGAACACCCAGGGGTACTTGATTTTGGCAAAGTGATAGTTAATGAGCTTGTCTCTCTAGTGTGTTCTAGAGTTCAGCAAAGTTCCGGGGGTACTTTGTAGGCAGATGAAAGTGCCCCTTCACTTTCTGAGGTGCCATGGCATGACTATCTATGTTTATGAAGGCATTGGTTTGCCACCGCCCCACAGAGCCTCATCTAAGCCAGAGCTTCCAAGTTGCTCACCTACTCTGGGACAGCAGATTCAGAGCTGAGGACAGATCTTATTTTTTAAACCTCAAGATGACATAAGACCGGGGAGCCTTGATCTCCAAGGAACACCAGGGTGGTGGAGGCCATAGCTTGGGAGTACGTCAGCTTGGAAAAACCACGCACTGTCTGTATTCTGTCGTCTGTAGAAAACAAAAATCAGGCTGGGTGTGGTGGCTCATGCCCTTTGGGAGGCTGAGGTGGGAGGATTGCGTGAGGCCAGGAATTTGAGAGCAGCCTGGGTAGCATAGCAAGACATCATCTCTACAAAATAAAAAAATTAGCCTGGTGTGGTGGCACTGCCTGTAGTCCCAGCCACCAGCCACTCAGGAGGCTGAGGTGAGAGGATCGCTTGAACCCAGGAGTTTGAGGCTGTACTGTAGTGAGCTATGATGGTGCCACTGCACTCCAGCCTGGCTGACAGAGCAAGCAAGATCCTGTCTCTTGGAAAAAAAAAAAAAAAGAAAAATCAAAGAATGCCGTCACTTCTAGTACTGAAATCTTTCTGAATGCCATGGTGGTGGTTATAATTCAAACTCATTTCCTTGTATGAAGTGAGAATGCTTTGCCTACCAGCGGGTCAGGTTTTCTGAGCTTTAAAACGGGTGGCCGGTCGCAGTGGCTCATGCCTGTAATCCCAGCACTTTGGGAGGCTGAGACGAGTGGATCACGAGGTCAGGAGTTCAAGACCAGCCTGGCCAAGATGGTGAAACCCTGTCTCTACTAAAAATACAAAAATCAGCTGGGTGTGGTGGCGGGCGCCTGTAATCCCAGCTACTCAGGAGGCTGAGGCAGAGTTGCTTGAACCCGGGAGGCGGAGGTGGCACTGAGCCAAGATCGCATCACTGCACTGCAGCCTGGGTGACCGAGTGAGATTCTGTCTCAAAAAAAAAAAATAAATAAATAAAACACGGGCAGAGGGACATTTCAGTAAACATAGCCATCTGACCTACTGAAGTCAGACCCTGAAGATAAGACGGAAGTCAGGAAAACACAGGAAGTCCAAAGGCACATTTAGCAGGGAGGCTTACAGGGTGGAGCAGAAGCTCAGTGCACCTACCTGCCCCAGGATGTCACTCAAATATCACTGTCCACTGGACTCCCCATAAGTGTTGACTCTTCAAGCAGGATGCAGCTTCTGGAGCTGGGGTTTTGTGCCCAGTGCCCAGCAGAGTGATAGCAGGGCTTAATCTCGTGGTTTTGGAATGGATGAACCAGAGCAAGACCAGGTGGTGGGGTTGCAAACCTAAGTTGTGGACCTGCTCCTTAATAGACTTACAGTGTGGAGGAAAGACACACTAGTTTGTGGAAGCTTGTGAAGGAGCAAGCGAAGGGAAGAAAAGAGGCTCAGGCTCAGAGGTGCAGGCTGGTTGGGCCTGGCGGGAAAACCTCTGAGCAGAGTTTTGAAAGACAAATAGGAATTTTACCAGCAAAACTTTGCAAAAATGACTCTGAATCATCAAGGAAGAGTTAAATTGTTCCTTAGTATAATCTGGGTAAACATCAGGAAAGCACAAGCATCACTTTAGAAGTATTTTTACACAAAAAAGTTATCATTAAGGAAAAACGAAGGTTTTGGTACTACATTTGTAAGTTTCAGTTTATTTGGAAATTATTCTTCTGGCCCCTCAGCAATATTTTCAATGAGATTTACTGTATTTCTTAACCTTTGTGTGCTGGTTAGAAGCGTACATCCAGTTACATAATGAATAAGACCACCATCGAAAAATTTATAGAAAACCAACTTCAAAAACTATGAACAATTCACTGCTAGTAAGATAAGTCAGGTATTTGTGGTTTTGTTTTTGTTTTCCTGATCCCCCATTTATAAATTAGTCTTTATTTAGACGACTAGCCAAGCTGGTCAAAATGGTAGTTCTTTTCTACTCTCCCTAGTCCTGACCTGATAAAATACATTTTAGGGGACTCGCTGTGATACCTGCCATGTTTCCTTATGGAGGAAGGAACACGCACCTCTTCTAGGCAGTTGACATGAGAGCCTTGAGGGTTAAGTGACTCCACTGACCTCCATTTCAGATGCCTGGAGAATCAATGTGAGCGCAGATAGGTTGGAATTTGGGGATGTGGAGCTGGAAAGTGGGTTTCCCAGAAAAGTTGATGGGAGCAGAGTATGGATGGCTCTACAGGCTGAAGAAATCACTTCTTGTACCTTTGGCTTTTCATTTTAGGGAGGGTAGGTGAGTCTATAAGATGTCAAAAGGAGTTTTTAACACTGGGCTTACAGTCTCACTCAAGGGCAGATTGATCAGAGACAGACTGGAGACTTGAAAAAACATACCTTTGGCAGAAGAGAAAAAAGTATTGCTGAAATAGGAGTAGTTCACTGGAGAATTGCCAATAGAAGCTGAAAATTCTTCAGCCTTTTGACCCATAAGGTACTTGGAAAACTCTTATACTGGAAAAAAAATATCAAGTTGCAGCTAGACCAGAGGGGTATAGAATCCAGTCTCGTCTCTCTGCCCTGCCCACCCTGATCAGACTCCTGTGCAGTGTCTGTACCACAGACCTGGCAAGCACGTGCAAATTGCTTGGCCTCAGAATGCCTTTTCTTAAAGGTGCATTCCAGTTGTCCTCATTGCACGTGTGTATTGCATTATTCCATCAGATATCTAAGGTTTCTGGTCAGGCGCTGAGCAGGAGGGTCTAATTTCTGTTGTATTTCTCAAGCCCCTTAGCCAGAATCTCAAGAGATCTGGGGAGATAGCTTTCCAAAGCCCACTCAGAAGGCCCAGCCCTTGTGCTTGCCTTTATTTTTCTCAGTAACGCAACCCCAGATACCAGGGCACGGCCAGGGGTGCAGCTACCTGAGGGGGCTGCCTTAATACTGGTCTCAGTTTTATGCGTCTTTCTTTGAGGCCCTCTAAGAACAAAGGGAGCATTCCATTAAAAGATCTTCGGAACTGGAGCCATAGTCTACCTGGCTGTGTTTCTGTGTTTATTTATTCATCACAAAGTTGGCATGAAGAAACGTCAGTCATTCTTTTTCTTTTTAAAAATTTTTTTAGAGAGAGGGGTCTTGCTGTGTCACCCAGGCTGGTCTCAAACTCCTGGGCTCAAGTGATCCCCCGATTCAGCTTCGCAAGTAACTGTGACTATAGGCACATGCCACCACACTTGGCTAAGTCATTCTTTTTCAACTTTCGCTTACAGAAGCCTCACAAGTGACATTCTGAAATGCCATATTGATTGTTGAACCTTTTAGCTGGTTGACTTTAATGTGATTAGTTGGTCAGCTGTCGTCCCGTAATTGAAACAAGGAGCCTCAAATGAAGAAAGTATATTCAAATAAGTTACAGGTTTATTTTATACCAAGAGAAAAAAGCCACGGTTGGAGAATAATGTAGATATAGATAGTACTTGGTAAATCATCAGAGTGTGTCAATTGAGTAATGAAAAACAT